TTTCGCAGTGTTTTAATTGTCTGCACTGGTTAACGGGAGTTAGATGCCACCCAAAAATGGCGGATATTCGTTATCGGCGTGAGAAAGGCTAATTTAAAAATGCCAGTCAAAATCGCATTTTTCCACCGTTGGAAATTGCATGTAAAGTTATTGTTTGAGTATTGAAATTATTCTCATTTGAGATTCAAATTTAAGTCGTTAAACGGAAATTGATTAGAGGGGAATATTGAATATATTCCCCGATAAGAACAAAGGAAACCGAGAAGGTGAAAAATAATATACTATATAATCCTTTAGTGTTCGCAATTCATCTAACTGACATATACAAATATTCAGTTGAAGAAAATTCCAGTCGAGAAAAAATTGAAACTCAGATGGTGCTGATCAACGGTTTCGTAAGGCGATCACAACCATAGGCAGTCCAAAACGGCATGTAGAATGCACCAAATGCTTCCAAATGTCAATTTATATTAAGCTCGCCCCATTCCTCTGTCATTTGTCGCGCGCCGCAAGCACTCAATTCGAAAAGCAGTGTTGATATGTGTTGATATAGTGATATACTATAGATTATACCTAAAGCCCTGTTTAAACGGATCCAACATTGTTGGGCCAACATCATCCAACATTGTTGAAATAATGGCCCAAACGGCTTCTTTTTCAAATATTTTTGTCAAGACTAGGTTTAGAATTTGAGTAAAGCTTATCTAACCAAAAAGATTTGAAAGAGAAGCAGTCATATCTATTATAGTAACATTGTTGGATGATGTTGGTCCAACAATGTTGGATTCGTTTAAACAGGCCTTAAGGACAGTAAGGTTGGCAACTATATCTCAACTGACGAATACACGACTTCGGCAAAACGCAAAATACTTCGCACATGTAAATAAAACATGATAAAAAATTATACCACATTGAACTCTGATATTTTTTCTACATACCCGCATATAAATTCTGAGTGAGTCAAGACTGCAAGAAAGATGAAAAATTTGTACAAACGTTTCATGGTCTGATGAAAATTTTGATGTACCCATTAGGTTATTTCATTCGTCATATTTTCAAAAAAATTATGTGATTTAATTGATTGAAAAAATAAACAGTTTGTGACGTATTTATAGTAAAAATTTGGTTTCAGGGGGGGGGGGTTGAACTACAACAGGAAGACTGCTAAAATACAAGAGCGATTTTTTTTCGAAGATGAATGGTGGATTTTAAAAACATTTTACATCCATCCATAACTTTTATCTACAGCAAAACAACCAGGTAACTTTTGGCTACATGTACACGAAATGTCATGAAATTCTGAGCAATAATGGCGAAGAAAATGTACAAACAAGACGGCGATATGCGAACACGCTTCGTTGTGAACCTCAGAAAAGTTATAGGTATGAATTTATTTTATAGCGTTTTTAATACTGTAACTTGGAACAATAGGTTGGATCATTTATTTTTTCCTAGTAATCAAGTGTTCAGTATTAAATAGGTGTTTGTACTGGATCTCTAGTTATAATTTTAAATAGCTGTATAGCAAGAATATTTCGAAGTCGTTATATCACTATAAAACTGTTTTTATATCAAAACAAATTTGCATTTTTCCCTGTTTTATTTATTATCAGTATAAAAACAGTATTCACAGTAATAGTTATGTACAGTCACTAGTTTTTGTTAAAAGGAATTTTGTTAAGGAATAATTTATGAGTTATGCAAATTAATTTGCATAATCGATGACGTATTTTCCGAAGGTTCTCCGATGCTGATAAAACAACGAGAGCTTTCCGATTAGTCGCCATTTTGTTTCACGATGGCGGAAGGGTTAATAATGGGGGTTTTAAGGGAAAATAACATTGAATTGAGTGTGAATACTTTTCGTTTCCATTTAAAAGTGCTTTTGGAAAAGCATGGGGGTTTATTTGAATGCATGATAGCTCGTATTGGAAGAGAGAACGTACTTGAAAATTTGTGTGTAATCTATCAGGAGTTAGGACCTTCAAATTTTGGTAGAATTATGGCTTACTTGACTTTAGTTTTTAAAGTTAGTGATTTTTGTGAGCCTGAAATTGTGCAAGAAGCCGTAAAAGTCTGTGTATGGGAATTAAAACAAGTGGATACGCTAGATTTTGAGGATTTTAGTTGCGGATAGATGTTTGTTTGAAATGGATCGACCAATGTTTGATGTACAACAAATAATACAAATGTGGAACATAACTTGTGAACATGATAAATGTACTCAACCGGCTAATTGTTACGTGTATTTGTTACGTGCGAACATATTGTCATATTCATTGTCGTGTATATAATATTCCACGTAAATGTCGAGACGATGATTGCGTTGAAACATTAGCAAAAGCTAGCAAAATGAGTTATTATTAAATTTATTACAAATGTGTTGAACCAGTTTTAAAAATTTAATTTTAAAAGGAAAAAAATAGTCAAATTAGTGCGGTCATTAAACTTTAAATACTTAGTGCACTATCAGTTTGTTTTCATTTGCGCCTGACTGTCATGGACCTAAAACTAAAAGCTTGTTTCTGCTTGCAGATTTCTGGTCCTTCGTCAGGTAAAACCGTTTGGGTAAAAAAGTTTCTTGAAAACTTACCGCAAATGATTAACCGAAACGTTGATCAAATCATATATTGTTATGGGGAATATCAGCCTTTTTTTGACGAAATTCGACAAAACATGCCAGAGATACAATTTTATGAGGGTTTCCCTGATGTCAAAGGCATAACTGATCCGTCCTTTCCTACGTTAATGATCATTGATGACCTTCAAAATGAATTATTGGATAATTTAGAACTTGCAAATTTGTTTACCAAAGGTTCGCATCACTGTTCCATTTCAGTAATATTTTTACAGCAAGCTTTATTTAATAAGGGGAAATTTTCTCGCTTATGTTCGCTGAATTGTCACTATATGGTTGTTTTCAAAAGCCGTAGGGACCAGACAGTTATTTCGACTCTTGCCCGCCAAATATATCCCGGATGTGGTCAATATCTAATTGAGGCTTATAAAGACGCGACCGAGGAAGTATATTCCTACTTGTTAATAGATTTGCACCCTCAAACTGAAGATAAATATAGATTACGTGCAAAAATATTTCCAAATGAGCGGCAGGTTTTTTACGTTAAAAAGTGAAGATTTTGTGCTCCAGTTATTTTGCCATGTCTGTTCACATGAGAAGGAACGTTCACGTACTTAAGGTTTTACATCAGGCAAAACCGAAGCTGCGTAAAGCAATGCTAAATTAGAGCCGAGTTGCGTAAAGGCAATCTGTTATTGTGTATTGAATATTTTAAAGAGTGTTGTTAAAATGTCACCAGTTCAAAAGAGGAAGCTAGCTAGGCACAAAGATCATTTAAGGGTGCTTGTCAAAAGAGGTACACCATTGAAAAAACGACGGCAAACGATTGTTCAAAAAGGGGAAGGCTTTCACTTACGTTAGTGTTGGGACCTGTTTTAAAAGAACTAGCGTCGCTCATAGAATAGAGACATGAAGCATTCACGAAAAATGATTCTGATACCGGAAAATAATTTGGATAATTACTTACGTCAGCAACGCTTAACGACTCCGCCGACTGTTGCAAAAATGGCACAATTAGATGATGAAATGAAAACTGTTTTAGACAGAAATGACACTTCCCAAGATGAAAAAGCAAAGCTCTACAGTCAAATATTAGAGAACTATTAGAGAGGACACAGAACCAGTACCTATAGCATTTGCGGGGGATGCAGGGAATAATGCAGCGACAAGTGTTCCTAGTAGTTGTCGAAATTCTTCCGAAAACACTTCAATCAAAAGCCAAAATAATTTTAGAAAAAATTAAAGATAATCCTCAAGTCCTAAGTTGGAATGAAAAAGGCGAACTGAAATATCAAGGGGAAACAGTGCCAAATACCAATATTACAAACTTAGTTAGCGATTCTCTTAGGCACAGGAAAAATAATAAACCAAAGGGATTTGAATTATTTACAAAAGGTCTTAAGCAAATTAATCTTCCGGAAGATTTAATACGCAACCCTGAACGATTACAACTCGTTAAAACTTACGGTTATGAACAAAATCAGTTATGAACAAAATCAGCAAAACGAAACCACAGTGGTTGACAAACTTTTAAATTACTTGATATATTTTTTTAAGAAATCAGTGTAAAAAAAATTATTGTGAATAAATTTGTTGTGAAAAATTATGTTGCGTTTCATGGCCACTCATGTACAAAACTGACGTTCGTTGTTTTTTTCGTCGTCTCTGGAGGGGTTCTTATTCTGCATCCCTTCCAGCCATGCCTCCCTGTTGTGTCCACGCTGGACTTCCTGCTGTTCTTGCCATCGCCTGTGGGCACGCCGTGCCCTTCTTTCTCCAAATCACTTTTCCTTTTCTCAGCGTTGTCCATCTTCCTGTATGGTATTAGTGCTATAGAATTGGACCCACACAATCTGGCCTATTTATGCAAAGCATCCCCTGGCCTCAAACACTAAAAAAAAGAGCGGCATGGCTGACAAACTTCGTAGACAATCATTTCCGATCGTTACTCTTTCGGTTCGCTTGTTAAGTAGCGTGTATTGTTATCGAAATGCGACGCATTACTCTTTCGGTGCAGGCAATGCGCTTGTTAACTAGCGTGCATTGTTATCGAATGCGACACCGATCAACATCGAATTTCGTTTATAATTCTTTCAAAAAAAAGGAGAGAAAAAAAAAAGAAAAAGTGATGGGTCGTCGGTAACATGAACGACCAGATAATCAATTGCCCAAAGTTAGATTTGGCATAGTTTCTGCAAGTCTGTAAAAAATTAACGACCACGCACATACAAGTCGTTAAAATTTTAATGACCACCCACCTGCAAGTCGTAAAATCGTGTTTGGGCGCGTGCCTGCATGCGTATAAAAGTTGCAGACCGAGCACAGAGTTGTTATAGTTGAGACGTGATTATTACAACTCATTGGTGTAAGAACAACTTCGACCGCCGGGGTGCTGGCCCGTGTGCGAGAGTCGTTCACGACGATGGAAGAGAATGTTTATACTACATGGGAAAGTGTACTGGATACCTTAAGCCCTACTGAACTAGAACGCTTGGAAAACAACGCAAGTTGGTAAGTCCACGTACGCCAATGGTTTATGAACAAATCCTAAACTTATAGGGACATTTTGTTTTAACAAACGCGAATTTCATTCGTCTTGCAGATGATCCATTTGAACATCTCACAGCAAGTCATTGGCAAAGTATTGATGCTGCTATCAGAGAAAATATTGGTAGGTTATTAGCTAGGCAATTGTTGTGAGATACTATTTTCTTTTTTTCTATGACATGTAGTTTTATTAAAGTTTTATTGTAATCGCCGTAGGTTATCGCTGTGAAGAGTGCGAAAAGGTTTACCGCCATTTGCCCAATCTTTCAAGGCATAAGCGATTACACCACGGACATAAATATCGCGCATCAGACAGTATCATTGTCGTTTACCTACAGCAATGGCGTGTTTGCATGGATTGCCAGCGTCCGCGGTTTCTACAAAAAATGGAAAATTTTGGCTTTGCAACAGAAATAATCCCAAGAGTTGTAAATTCTTCTGCCCTGATCAAGACCGCTCGTTGTTCGAAACGGCCATGTCAATGTGGAGAGCGAATGGACCAATTCATCCAGTGTGTGATACTCACCAAAGGCTAGCAAGATCTAGAATGAAAGTCGTCGAAGACGTTAGTAAACTGAACTTTGGAAGGCCGTTTTTTGTTTGTTGCGACCGCGAGAATCCACGTAAGTTCTGGCAGTGGGGTGATAGACAAGAGTTTCCAAAACCGAAATGCGGACACGAATTGAATGCTTGCGTACAGAAAGTCAAAAAGGAAGGAGAAAATCAAGGCCGCCTTTTCTTCTGTTGTCCAAACGATCGAGAAAAGTCGTGCGGATTTTTTGAATGGAAACTCGAGCTGGAAAACTCGTTCAACCAAATCCATTTTCCTCACGTTGAAAGAGTTGGTATATTGCAGAGTAATCCAGCGCTGTACACGTACATGGTAGCTGAAACTGGACTTACCTTTACTAGCGCACGGGAAAATCCGCACGATGCATACGCTGAATACATGGGGGAATTGCCAATTTCCTCACATACGAACGCTATGGGGGAACTGTCACTGATAGACTATTAGGAGACTATAATTAAGCTATTAAAACATTGTTATATTAACCCGAACAGAACACTTATATATATATATATATATATATATATATATATATATATATATATATATATATATATATATATATATATATATATATATATATATATATATATATATATATACAGGGTGTATCAAAAAAGCGCAATCCTCGACTGAAATGTAAATTGCTAAACAAATAATAGACGAAAACGTTAAAGTTTACATTCATTTTAAAGCGTAGCCATTCAGCTTTCTAACAGTGGGTTGTTTCTTAAATTTGACTCATTGGTTCGCGGGTAATAATACTTTACGTTATTGCGATTGGAGATTAAAAAAATTGAGATGGAATAACTAAACGTTCTCATGAAAATAACTCATTTTTTCATTAAAACAAAAAAATGTTGCATTTTATTAAATGGATTGTAACAATATTAAGTATAATTACGGCTTTTCTTCCACTATTTTTAACTCAGTTTGAAACTTCAAATGCGATATAATTTTGGCTTGGACCATCTAAGCTGACTGACATCAACTTGCTATAATTTCAGTTTACATTACATCGCAATTCGATGACACTCTGGCTCAGACACCAGAATGTTTGACGATTTTTAGCATTCGTTTAGGATTTTCAAACAACCTGGTCTCTTTTTAAAATACTTTTAATTTGTTCTTACGTGGTTTTCCAGATGTAGTGACGACAACATTAAAGTTTAAAGAAGAAAATTCTAACATTTAAACCGACTAAACAATAACATAGTAAACTTGCATAATTAAACAGCAACTAAAAATGATAGGTTTTACTAAATCTTTTCCTGTGAAATTATTACTAGCATTGGAGACAAGGACAATAGTTTGTTTGAAAGAGAAAAGAACAGGC